AACGGTTTATGGTTTATTGTTTGTTGTTCACTCAGCCAGTCATTGTATATTTAGTAGGCTGAATCTTTAATTATTTTAACATGTACACTATGAATCTTCAGGTTTTAAAATCAAATTTAAGACTGGAATTGCATTTAAAGCCAATTAAATTGTTATAATGCTGCAAAAGAACAAATGTGCTCAGGCTCTCCTTGTGAGTGCAAACAGCAAAGTTGGAATAAGACACACCTGAAAGTACGACCATAGATACAGACTAAGGAAACGTCTTTATCTTTGCTTGGACGGTGAGGAAGAATTCCCTGATGCAGGACAAACCCCTTTGCATATGGAAGACATCTTTGTAGATAATGTGCACAGTAAATCCCACCAAAAAACGTACTATTTCAATGAACTTTTTTTACTCTCTTCCTTGGAACAAACACCACTAAAAAATGTATGTAACGTCTTTACTGTTGACTTGTGGTAAAGAATCCAAACCCGTGCTTTCAACGAGGAACATTATTGCACCTACAATGTGTTAGAATAAAGAGCAGCGAGCGCTAGATGATGCTGAAATCACAGCTTCGACTACAGATGGACGACGGCTGTGCAGCATATCGCGAGCCATTTCAGACAGACAAGAAAACCAAATCTAATCGTCCAAATCTGAAGGTCCAAATGGCAGAAAAATGCATTATGCACTTACTCTTTCCTCGGAAACTGTGGTCTGGTAATCGTATCCGAGTCCAAGCACAACTTTCAGAGCTATAAAGAATATCCATTACACCTATCCTCTAGTCCTATCCTGACTGGTCTTTTCACCGCAGTGCTTTTAAAGTCGTGCAATCACACATTGTTAAGCTGACACTGGGATGAGCCACAGTGTAAACAAACGTTAGTCTTAATATAGTTTGTTTATTATTAATACAAAAGTTCTCTACAGCTGTATCCATCCATATGCAGCCATACTTTAGCTACACAACAGTTAAAATAATAAACTATCTGTTTTCAAATCTAAAACGGCTCCAGCGTGGTGCCAGGGAACTTTAAGCCATGCAAATGTACAAGACATTTGCAAACTCCCGACTACTGTGTCACCCTCAGAGACTTGCAATGATTGGCAGACAGGCCTCCCACACTTACACATCAGTGTTAAGGCTGCTCACTATAGTTTGGGCTGTCACGAGGCAACAAGATGGCTCGGTATAACACTGACTGGTGACTGACACTGCGACAGGGGACGTGTCAGGGTAACACCAGAGGAGCGGCGCGTAGGTGGGTAAACCCAAGAAAAACAAACGGCTATAAGTTGTCAATCTGCAGCGCATGTCAGCTGCACAGGCAACAATCACGGCAAACTAAAACGCACGTCAACAAATTAATGAAGGCTTCTGTTGTCTGAAAGGTCATCTTTAGCCTCCTTTGCTGTGAACACTGATGGATAATGGCTGCGTCTGTGTTTTCCTTCTAACCTGCTTGTGACGACTCTTTTACTGGTGGTTTCTACTAGTTATGAAAACGTTTTTACCCAGAGGAAGGTTCATGCCTTAGCTAGCTATAGCAGTAGCTCCTGTCAATGATCATCACAGTTAGACTGAATCAGAGAGGTTCAGTCTCACTTGTGGTCTGTCTGCTGCATGACAAATGAGGCCACCTTAACACTATCAGCATGGAATCAATTAAACAGCCCAAAGTCATCCTCATAGTCAATCAAAGCCACAGCTAACACAATAAAATCCATGTCTTGTTTCCATATTAACAAGCACACAAACATTTCTTTTCTGAAGCTCACCCCTTGCTGACAGGTAATTGGTGTAATTAGACATTTCTCAGCTGTTTAGATTTAATGTTTGAACCATGAGATAATGACTGATGACATTTAAAAGGTCTATCTGACAATGATTTAGCTGAGTTTTTATTGTTTTTATTTTATTTGCCCAAATCCTATGTTTGGGAGGCAAATGCATTAAGGCTCAGATAAAGAGCATCACAAATGCCAATCAATATTTCAGTGTCAATATCCTCCACACCACCAGCATCACTTCATCATCACTGATGAAGAATCATCGCTGCCTAAAGGTATTACTGCATCTGCAGCGCTGAATACTCACAGTTCTATGGCCTTGTTCCACATGATGACGTATCCGGACAGAATGAAGGACTCGATGTTGACGATGTGTGTGTTTCCGCGCTCCGTGCCCACATACAGCCATTTACTCTGGAAGGGCAGGTGGCAGAACGTAATCCTGGAGACGAGGAAACAAAGAAAAAAAGACCGTGTTAGAATATGAACGCTCACAAAAGGGATTCTGATTCCGTTTGCAGAAAAGATCTCGCTGTTTGTGAACGCGTTCCTGTGTTCTCGCAGAGCGTATGCACACCGACACCTGTTGCAGCTTATGCACAACGCTGCTGCCGCCAAAGCATGTGAAGCTGCCAATAAGACCATGATCATGATTAGATAGCCAAGTCTAATTTATGTTAATGTGCATTTGTGTTCATATGATGCCGTCAACAAAATATGACAGCGATTCAGATGGAAGTGTTCTTTTATCCAATGTCTTAAAAGCAAATTACTGAGCACCACACAAACTAATCTATCAAATAAACATGCGTCATAATAACAGCGGCATTCCTCTACTTTTAATATGACCTGTGCACGACAGACTCTGCTCACGTCACCTTCATAATCATAATCGTACGCCAGCGCTCAGTTCTAATAACTTCCCCCTGACTCATTCACGGAAGTCCTGGCCTGACTCACTCTGTGTCAAGGTTTAATTTAGACCCGTCTGTCCGTCTGTTTACCTCCACAGTGAAGCACCTCAGATATAGGTAATATTGCCTACATTCACTCTTTGCGTCACCACTGCTGAGTCCCTCGTTGGAGAACTTTTGCATCAGCTTGCTCTGAGCCGGTACAAACACCTTCAAAACAGCAGCCAGAAGTCAGAACTTTCTGTGTCCTGTTACATTTTACATCAGCCTGTCCACATGGAGGCTAAGCTGGTCCACCATTTCAGGTTCACATAGAACCACTACCCCTCTGCTCCGAGCTTTAAATAGTATAAAATCTAAATTATTTATTGCAGAATGTTTTTTTCTCCACACAGTTTACAGTTTGTGTGGTCTTTACAAAGCTATCTATGTGCAACTTGTGAACTATAATGGACATCATTTTAGAGAATATAAGCAGAGTATGACCATAGAAACGTATACCCTGATGTATTCCTCTGTTGCATGTGCTAGGTGTTGTTATTATGGCATTTAGCAGCAGATCCCGGCTCATATCCCGCCTGGGACCCATTTGCTGCTCTCGTCTCTCTTATTCCTGCGTTCCCTGTTCATCCTCGTGTAAAAATGAGGGCAAGAAATCTGTAAAATAATACTGAAGTGAAGCATGGCTGCTTAATCCATTATTGTTCTGCCATTGGCATGTATCATCTGTGTAAGCACCTTAACCAGGGAATAAAGATGTGCACACAGTAAGTCACTCTTGTCCATGCTGATTACCTTGTAGAGATTTGGGGGGGGATCACTGGGTTCCAGCCCCACAGCCACCCACCCAGCAAGCGGCAGGATTATTAGATAGAAGACAAATGAGATGGCAGACAATTCAATAAGGATTTTAGGGGCTTGAGGAGACGACAGTATTCAAACTGGTGGGGGGGGTAGAAGTGCTATGTGAGCAGGAGAGGATTATACAGTCCTGTGCCTTTTATAAAACACATTTAGGCGTCGCACCGCAAATTTACAAATTCCCTGGTTTAAGGAAGCTTTTTATTCAACCTTTCTGGATAATGCTTTAACATAAACAGCAAGTGGTAAGAGGATAATCTCCCCACAAAAAAATCTATTTGTTCAAATTACATCATGTAGAAATGGTCATATCAGTTTGATGAATTTGCCATATTTCTATGCACATATCAACATTACTGCACTTTGTCATGATAGATCCTGTGGAAAAATCAAAGCTTAAAAAAAGGTGGTTCTTCTGTCATGAAAAGCAACAGCGCCACCACGGAAACAAATATTTAAAGGGTTAAACATTTATATCTAATAATTTATGGCAGTTTATTATGCAGACGTTTTCTTCCACATGAAAGCTTTAATTAAATAAAAACTGCTTCTTTTACTTTATATATTTTTATGTGACATTTATATTTGTATATAATATAATAAAGTCTTCTTTAATAATAAACAACACTGGTACCATGTAAACAAACTGGCATCTGAAGGGTCGGGACAGACGTTGGTAAAAATAAAAGGATAATAGTTATTGGAGAAAATAATCAACAGATTCATTGATGATGAAAATAAACCTCTGCAGGAAATTACAGACATTTTCTAACAGTTTTACTTTTGGCTAAACTTTTGTTTTCTAAACCAAACCTCTGACCGTGACTGCTGCTCCCTAAACACAACCGGTCAAACTATTAACATAAATGTGATTCAGTAAAAGTCAGGGTTGGTTTCATGCTGTGGCCGGATTACTCTGAACAGTCAGCACCTCTCCTTTTCTTGGACTTCAGTTCAGTCACTCAACACATCCTGGGTCCTGAGTCCCTCTGGGTTGGTTTCCATTACGGCTTTCTTCTCTTTCATCATCTGGAGAGTCAACAAAAGTGGAACCATCATCTTCTGTGCAGTTTGTTCTGATGTTTGTATTCTCCTTCTGCTGTGCTAAGCAGGACTCCTGTGTTGTCTTTAGCTCTTCCTCCAAGCTGATGGCCTTCAGCTAATTTTTTCCTGAGGATCTTCTCTGGTGCAGAGCTTCGCTTTAAGCTGCTCAGTTTCACGGTGGAATCCCTCTTTGTCCTCTTTGTCCTCCTTGTGTTTAGCAGCCTGGTCTTCCAGGCATTTCTGAGCTTTTAGGAGCTGCTGCTGCAGCAGCTGGTCAATCTGCAGCTTTAGCTTCCTACATCTCTGAATCAGCCTCTCTGGCAGTTATCAGTTCTGTCACATCTGCCCGTAGGAGCCTCTTCTCAGCTTTTGGCTGCAGGGTTGTGTCCATCCCATCCCTTCAAGCCTGCAATGAATATGTGTCTTTAATCTCACTCCAGTCTCCTCCCTTCATTACTTATTCATCTACGATATCTATCACATTTAGCTAGCTCCCGCTCATGATATGGTGCTTATCAAATTATATCTAAACAAAAGGCATTGCCAGCCATTGCCAGGCAACCAGGCGTAGCGTCAATGTTCAGCAGCAGTTTTCTATTAGGGGCAAAAATATCACTCCCTGGTGGTTTGAGGTCTAAATGATCATTTGTTTTTTTCTTTTAATCAAACAATAATTCATTTGATGAATAACCAACCCATTTTAAGAGAATACGGACAATTTAGAATCACCAATTAATCTCAGCATGTTTCTGGACTGTGGGAGGAAGCCGGAGAACCCGGAGAGAACCCACGCTGCACGGGGAGAACATGGAGACTCCACGCAGAAAGATCCCGGGTGTCCTCACCGGGACGCCAACCGGTGACCTTCTAGCTGTGAGGCGACGGTGCTAACCACTGAGCCACCTGCAGCCCTACCTGCCTGCAATACATACATTTGAAAACGCCACGGGGTAAACTGATCCCTTGGTGCTTTCATTGTTAATGAACCCAGCAGATGTCGAGATTAATCAAACTGGTGACTTCATCTGGGAATCATCTGGGAAGCTGGCGACCTCGCCATCTGCTCTGCATGACTCGTGACACAACTGTTCTCCAACAGTATCATCAAAAAACAGTCGTGCTGGATAAATCAAAACCACAAATGCTTACATTAGCTCAATTTTCTCTTTTCGCTGCACCGACATTTACAGTAAGCCGTCACTGTGTCGTGTATTGTAATGCGCATTGTGTTTGGACTGTCTTCAAATTGTTCTTGACAGCAGCAGACAGCTGAGGAGGAGTGGCAGGCACGAGCTGCTGCCTGACAGTTATTACAAAACAATTCTCTCCACCGTTCCCAGTGATTCATACGTTGTTCTGGTGGGATTTTGATGGGGTGTTAAGGTGCTAATTGTCAGAGGTTCAGTCTGGAGACACAGAGCTAAATGGAAAGCCACTGCCCAGTCTCTGATGGATGACTCACGATGCCCTTTTCCTCCTTTTTTTCTTGGAGCATGATTCACTGCTCTTCCGCTGAGAGCGAGCGAGCGGTTCTGCCTCCTACCTTATCGCACCAGGTAGAAAGCTACTGAAAGAGGTTTTCAACACCTCTGAAGCAAAGCATTATTTGAAACGTTTACCTCTGCGGTTGTGTGGGCATATGCATCACGCAGTGTTGGGTACAGCTGCAAGGCGATGAGACGAAAATATACAATCTCAAACGGACAGGTTTCCAGTGACGAGTGTGTCGTGATTTTACGAAGCGGTGATGTTCTGAGATCGTTGCAGCAGCAAAAGCAACGTTCTTAAACCAGGAGAGGCACAGAATCCAGAAAGTTTGCTGCACGTTGATGGCCCTCTTTCCCAAAGAGGTTTTAGATGGATCAAAGCAGCTACCTCCAGGGCTGAAGTGAACCCAAGGAAAGGGCTAAAACCTGCAGTTTCTTGGTCACTTGATGGCAACTATACAGCAGAAATAGTCTCAGTTTTAACCAGTTTTGTTCACTTGGATTTTATTTACTCAAGCTTATCAGGCATTTCTGTTTATCAGCATCTGTAGTCAGCAGCGGTTCTCCAGCTACCAGCTAGATGAACATCTCGTCGCTCGTGTTGCATACTGCTGCGACCCACTTGGTCCGATTTTATTTTATCCCCAGCGAGCATGGCTGTAGCTTCATACTGGGGACATGTTTGGCACATGAAATGATTGATAAAGTAAGTTTAGCCAAGTAATGATCTGAGCACTGCTTACTAAAGGCTAATCGAACTTCAGAGCTGAAGACTGTTGATGGATGTGTTGGCTCACAACCAAAGAACACATGTTTAACTCAGGAAACCTGTGTTATGTTGAAACAAACTCAGCTTTCATCAGCTTAGCAGATAGCAGCAAACATTTGAGAGATTTTGTGGCCACACATATAAATCCAGAACCAACCTTCACATTTAAATGAATGTTGCTGCCTCAGTGGCTTAAAATCTCATTTCCATACCTCTGAATTT